GTCTTCTCCCACTAAGGTAGGGTGATCTGATAAAGAAGAAACACTTTCATCATCACTCACTCCATCAGTCTTGCCAGAGGCATGCAGACATTACTGGTTAGATGCCCCTTCAGAGTGCAGGCACTGAATTTTCCACCTCCAGGACTCAAGTCTGGTTAGCTGGTTTTCTTGAATCCCTTCATTAATGTTACCTTGCTCACGCCCCAGCAGCACATCATGTCACAAAACCACTTGCCACCACTCCCATCTACCATGTTCACTCATGCATGTTGAATGTCCAAACTCCCTCCCTCCAACCTTTCGTAGGATGACCCCATACCCCTTCTTCCCTCTATGCAGAGTTATACACCTGTCAAGTCATCCTTTAAATAACAAAAAAAGGCACAATACCATGACTGGAACAATACACAGATAACCCGCACATAGAAGACAGGAGCTTACGACGACGTTTCAGTCCGACTTGGACCATTTACAAAGTCACACTAACGAAAAGGAGAGAAGGAGGGAGTATAAATAGGCCAGGAGGTGGTGGTAGTAGTAGTAGTGGAGGTAGAAGTGGTGGTGGTGGTGGAGTTAGTCAAATACTAAGAAAGAGGAGCACTGCAAGGGAGCTAGGGGCCCACAGAGGGTAGGAGCAAGAATAGAGGGGGAGGGGAATAATGAAGGAACAAATACCCAAGGCAGAAGAAAGACAACCCAAAGGAGAAAGAGGAAAGGGGAAGAGGGAGAAGAAGAAAAAGGAATCAGGTTAAGTCACTGGTGTTTTGAAGTTTGGAGCATTTAACAGTGTGGTGGGAAAGGAAGGCATCTACAGTGACAAAGCCAGGACTAAGATTCATACAAGGAAAGTTGTGTATAAGAGAGGATTCAACCAGACGGCAACTGTGAAAGTTGGAAGTAGGGTCGACAGTTTTAGCAGAAGACCAGTCAATAGGATGACTGATCTCTGACGTGACAGAAAAGAGCATTGTTGGTGTCGGCAAGCCTAACACTACTTTTGTGCTCCCTAAGTCTGTCAGAAAGAGATTGGCCAGTTTCTCCGAAGTACTGAAGAGGACAGGAGGAACAAGAAATAGAGTAGACACCAGGAGCATCTATAGAGGGAGGAGAGATATGAACTAGATTAGTGTGAAGAGTGTTAGTCTGGTGAAAAGTAAGTTTGTTGTCTAAGTAACAGAGAGAGTTGTTGAGATTAGAAAGACTGGAAATGTAGGGAAGGCAGAGGACAGGAGCGTTCCAGGAGTAGAGAGTTTGGGAAAGAAGAAAGTTCGTTTAGCACATGAGAAGGCAGAATCTATGAAATGGGAAGAGTAGCCAAGACGGGAAAATGAATCATGAAGATTGGAAATTTCTGATTCAGGGAACTGAGGATGACAGATGCAGAGAGCACCATTCTCCCTAAATATCCAGAATGCCTCTATAACCCCTCTTCAGTCCTCTGGATAATGCGGCATATCCCGCTAATACACGTATAGCAGTTAGGTTCTGGAGAATGCAGTCATTTATTAAGTGTACATTATACAAATACAAGTTTATTTCAAAATGGGTGACATTGGAGTGCATGTTTAAAGCCCTTGGTTATGCAGAGCATTTCAGGCAAGCTTAAGCCTAACTTAAGACTACAAGGACATATCGTTGTACATGATTGCAAGAAAAAATAATTTGGGTTATAGGCTAATAAGTTTATAGGTACTGTTTTTTACATTAGATGACATTATAGGTACTATTTTTTGCGTTAATGACATTCAGTTCAAGAACTCGAGTTCAGTTCATTTCAGGAACTCAAAAAATTAATTTGGGTTATAGTCTAGGAAGGTTATGAGTACAGTTTTTTTTTTACATTAGATGACATTTGGTTAAGTAGGGATAGACCCAAGAAACTATGCTTGATTCATCTCTGAGACAGCTGATGTGTGTCACTGACACAAACCATTGTAAGAGCAAGGCAAGTGCTGATAATAATAAAACATATTATATAAATATAATTGAAAAGCACTGTACTAGCAAAACACACTAAAGTGAAACGCCTTAAAGAGAGATATGCCTGTACTTTTAGTAACCTCACACCTCCTCCTAATCTCCAAACTATGAATTCTCTGCGTAATATTCATACCACACATTGCCTTCAGACATATCATTTCCATTGCCTCCACCCTCCTTGCTGCAATGTTTAAAACCCATGCTTCACACCCATATAGGTTGGTACTACAGGTCCTCCATCACAAATCCGGCATCATTGGGACCTGTAGTGTGCCGGATTACTGAGTTTGCCGAATTACAGAGTGGTTAGGTTAGAATACACTTAATAAAATTAACCAACTTGACTTACACAGTTCACTGAACATCGGCAAAAATCGAACATTTCCGCTATTTTGAGCTCAATTTCAAGGTACTTTTCGTCAGGAAAGCAATCAAAATCATGTGTATTTCTGTAATATATCTTCCATTCTATCAAATGAGTCCAAAAAATGAGAACACAAAAATAAAAACCATACGAAAATATACTGCAAAGAGGCGGCTAATGGCTGAGAAGTGAACTCCCTTATTTATCGTCCGTCTTTTTTATTTTTGTTGTACGTTAAGAAGCATCTTTCCATCATACATTGTCCAAGTTTCAATGAGATAGCCCAACAAATGACCGAGAAAAAAAAATATTTACCAAAAATCATATATGGCAAGCCCAAGCCAGGTACTGGAAATAAGTCACTTTGTCTGACTTTTCTGGGTTATCCTAGGTTCTCTATACATACACTGCTATGTATGATAATCTATGTAACTGTATTTGTGTATACCTGAATAAACTTATTTACTTCTAGTCTGTCAACTGAGTACAAGAAACCACCCATTCACTTATTTCAACTACCCAATAAAGTGGTCAGAAATTGGCAATTTAGCCAATTTCACACAAATTTCAACAGATGCCAATTTCAAAATAAGGTCCAGAATAAACGATGCAGACATTCCTGGCACTAAAATAACATTTTCTCTGTTCATTTGTCATGGCTACAGGCCCCTCTTATATTACTCTTGCTTACCATTTGGAATTTTTATTCACAAAAAAAAATAGAGGATTTACTGTTGTGCAGACTACTGCATTATTGTAATAATTGTATAAATAATGTCAATCCATTCTTGACTCCGTACTGGAATTTAGACTGGCAGGCGGACAGGTATTGGACGGTGACGTCATTTGTTTACTCTTGAGCTTCGCTAAAGAATAGAACATTTTCGCTACTGTGAGCGCAATTTCAAGGTACTTTTCGTCATGAAAGCAATCAAAATCATATCTATTTCTGTAATATATCTTTCATTCTATCAAATGAGACTGAAAAAATGAGAATATAACCATAACAACCATACAAAAATATACCGCTAAGCGGCCTCTAATGGCTGAGAAGTGAACTCCGCTATTTATGGTCTGATTTCTTTCATTTTTGGTGTATGTGAAGAAGTATCTTTCCACCATACATTGCCCAAGTTTGAATAAGATAACCCAACAAACAACTGAGAAAATAATAATAATATAATAATAATATTTACTACACGTACATGTACAAGGTCGACTAACACCCAGGTATCCATTTACTGATGGGTAAACATAAACAACAGGTGTAAAGAAACACGCCTAATGTTTCTACCCTGGCTGGGAATCGAATATTTACCAAAAATCATATATGGCTAACCCAAGCCAGGTACTAAAAATAAGCCACGTTGACGTTTTTGGGGTTATCCTAGGTTCTCTACACATATGCTGCTATGTGTGACAACCTATAGAGAGAAAATAACTTAGTTAGCCCTGTGCTATACTCCGTTTTCTCTAATATAAGCCCCCAATATCCTCTTCATGACTCAAGAAATCGTAATGACACGATTGCAAACAAACCATACCACGGGTGGGATTTGAACCCGCGGTCAGAGAGTCTCAAAACTCCAGACCGTCGTGTAGAAATATACCTAGTTGGACGAATCTTATTGTGGCTAGCTGGTCCAGTGGCTAACGCGACGGTCTGGAGTTTTGAGACTCTGACCGCGGGTTCAAATCCCGCCCGTGGTATGGTTTCCTCTTCATAACTCTGTCGAACTGCTCGGTGTTATGCCAAATATTATTCATTCTGGAGTATTTAACATGTTTTATGTTATTTATATTGTTTCTTATGTCATATTAGATCAATTGTGATAGGCAAATAAGCTGTAGTGTTGATATTAGCATAATAATAAAGCATATTCTGCTTCATGAGACTGAGCTCATGGCAACCGACAGTGGCTTCAAAGCCACCTTATCTTTAATGGATAATGTACTGTGTAGGTGCTTTACATAATGAGAAGCATTTCTTTTATTCATTGGAACCATGGCTAGGGCTAAAAGTAAGCAGGTTAAAACAATAAATGGAGATAAAGAAATTGGAATGACTTATGCAGCAAGTAGCGCCACCAAACAGTACCAGCAGGTTGGTGTGGCGACCCTGGAAATTTGAAATTATGCTAGCCATAATTAGTGCCGAATAGCTTAAGGAACTGAATAACTGATTGCCGGATTTGTGATGGCGAACCTGTACTAGACTAATACATTACCCTTTTCGACTCTGAAAAATGTTCTTTGTCTCTACAGTACATTTACTTCAATGCACTGCCCACCTTTTTTTCTCCTCATCCTTCATAGACCCATCCACCACCATGTCCACTCCCAAAACTTACCTGCTTTTAATACCACTTGTGACCTTTGTCTTATCATTCTTTCCTTCATATTTTTTTTTTTTTGTACAATGCCTTGAGCTCTTAAATAGAATGGCAGTGAAGCACATTTGAAAGTACTGTAAATGTGATCAAAATTATGGTACTTCAGGAATTTTTCTAAAATTTGATTACAGTATTTTTGCACTACCTAAGTGAGTTGGCTTAGGTCTTTGTTAATACTGTGTATATTCAGTGTTTCTTTAAACAAACTTGATAATGTACAAATACCTTATGTTATCTAATTAGCTTTTTTTTATTTGTTGTAGCTTAAAGGTGCTATAGATGATTGTTCCTGCTCTGTAGAAACGATTGACAGTTTCAATAACCTCAAAATTTTCCCCCGGCTCAACAGTTTGTTACATCAAAACTTCTTCAGATATTGGAAGGTAAGTTGTAATTATATTGAGGTTTTTAATTTATTAAAACAAAGCAAAAGTAAGTCCTGCATCTTTACAAGAGGTTCTGATTCAAATTTACAGTACTGTACTTTATTATTTAGGGAATTTTTAAAAACACTGCACAGTACAGGGTGTAGGAAATGCAGTACAGAAGGGGCCCCACTTATATAGCAGGTTAGGTTCTGGACTACTGCTGTAAAGTGGAACATATCCCCTTTCTTTTCTCTCTCTCCCTCCCCACTTTCAAAAGCATATAAAACCTTAATAACATATTTACACTACCACATATTAAGTCAGCAGCAGAGTTAGGCCTAAACAATGCATGGACAGTGCACACTATCATAAAATATTTTTGTCCTTAGCTTGTATATACGTATAGTGAATGATGAATGTATTTATTGTAGGAAGTCTGCATAAATGAAGAATGGGTATAAATAAAAAGTGCTGTATTAACAAAATGCTGTAAAGCAAAGTGTTGTAAAGTGGGGCTCTCCTGTATATATACAGACACTATATTAATCTATTAACCCTTTGAGGGTCGACAGGCCCTCTCCGAATTTAGCAATTTTGCCAATTTCACACAAATTTCAAAAGATGCCAATTTCCAAATAGGGTCCAGAATAAACAAGAAATACATTCCTGGCACTAAAATGACATTTCCTCTGGTCATTAGTCACGTCTCAAGGCCCCTCTTATATTCTTTTGCTTTCCACTTTGAATTTTTATTCTCACAAAAAATATAAGATTTACTGTTATGCAGACTACTGCATTAGTGTAAAAAATGGTATAAATATTATTGGTGCACTTGTGAAAGAATATTAGACTCACCAGTTGACGTGTATTGCACGCTTGGCATGATTTGTTTACTTTTGAAATTTGGTAAAAATCGAACATTGCTACTTTGAGCTCAATTTCAAGGTACCTTTCATTGTAAAACCAGTCAAAATCATCTCAGTTTCTGTAATATGTCTTCCATTCTATAAAATGAGACCAAGAAAACTAGAATACAACAATAAATACCATACGAAAATACAGTGCAAAGTCGCTGTTTTATTCCAAAAAAATGGTCAAAGTTTTTTTTTCTCATTATGCACTGTGTGCTGCAGGATTTTTTTTAGGCTGTGCACACTGACCACATAGACCCATTCTTTCATATGAAGGCCTACCAGCTTTCTCCCACTAGATTTGAGGGCGCTAGAATTTAGGCGTACTAGTACGTCAAAAACCCTGGGTTGTAAGCCGTACTAGTACGTCCGAAACCCTCAAAGGGTTAATCAAAGCATATAAAAACAAAAATGATGCCTTGAGGTAAAATGGTGATAATAGATACTGTATTGGTATGTACAGTACTATAGTATAATGATAACCTTTGTCACTAGCTCTTTACAATCTTATTCCCACCATACTTATATTTTACTTTTAGCATTTCTTGCATGTATATCACAGGAAAATTGATTTCGCTTAATCATATACTATACAGCCAGATATATAGAGTACATATCATTTTCATTAGCTATTTACCTTGCTTTTAAATGCCAAATATTTTCACTTTTGTGTCATTTTTATTGTTTCTAAAACATTGTTCAACACAGCATGTAAATATTTTGTTTCTTAACTTTAATATGTATCCTTCAGAATCTGGAATGTTTGGAATGAAACCTTTACTGTGTGTGTGTGTGTGTGTGTGTGTGTGTGTGTGTGTGTGTGTGTGTGTGTATACAGCAAGGCCCCGCTTTATGGCGTTTCGCTTTACGGCGTTCCGCTAATACAGACATTTCGAATTATGACCAAAACTCGCTATACGGCTCCCCCCACCTGTCTTTCTAATACGGTCACAGAGACCCACCGAGTTTGTTTACATTCTCCCTGAGCACATCTCCTTATTATGTCTGGAAACTTTCCAAAATTTCAAGTGTTTTAAAGTTATTGTATATTTTATATGTATTGTACTTGATAATTAAACTTGTGTACACCTGTACCTAAATAAACTTACTGTGCTGGCATGTAGGTACACATTAAAATCACTAAGAGTCTCTCTACTCTTGATGCAATAATAATAATAATAATAATAATAATAATAATAATAATAGTAATAATCTCTTGGGTGCATTAATGTCGCATATTACGTTAATATAGACATTTCCCTTAATCTGTCTATGATATTTTTTTCAAAATTATATAAGAAACACATTATGTAACACACAAATATGATACATGCACCCACAGTATAAAAATTTATACAAATATATATGAGATGTTTACCAAACGGTTTGTAAAAGTGTCGGAAGAATTACGTTTTCTCTAGCCCGTCACCTGTTACTAGGGATAACTGTAGAAAAATATTCCTTTCGTATGCCTTCACTTTATAGCTATAATTCTGTACTAACTTGTACACAGTGTAAGAGTATTTGTTTCGTGATTTAATTATTATAATAATAATAAAAATATTATAAGGTAAAAGTTTCACAAACACTTACAAATGTACATGAATGAACTAAAACTGGACACGTATTAATACCGTGTATTTCGCCTGACCGAGTGATCGTCCACAACCTGTTCAGTTTGTTTGTTTACGCTGTCTGAGCTCGGTGTATCATTAAATGTTGTATATTACGTTAATATACACATTTTCATTAATCCATCCGTGATTTTTTTTTCAAAATTATATAATAAACACGATACATAACATAAATACATAACAACATGTGTAGAGAACCTAGGATAACCCAAAAAAGTCAGAGTGACTTACTTCCATTGCCTTCACTCAGAGCATCATTTCTTCTCAAAATGATGTTACATGAGAATGGGAGTGTTGTCCTTTATTTATTCTACAGTATCAATGTAGAGACAACCTGTACACAATGTAACTTGTGTTGGGTAAGACACATATGCAACAGTTAGGTATCTTTATTTCGAAACGTTTCGCCTACACAGTAGGCTTCTTCAGTCGAGTACAGAAAAGTTGATAGAAGCAGAAGATACTTGAAGACGATGTAATCAGTCCATCACCCTTAAAGTTTTGAGGTGGTCAGTCCCTCAGTCTGGAGAAGAGCATTGTTCCATAGTATGAAACGATATTGTTCAATGTAACTTGTACACAAACCAGACGTGTACACTGTTTACAAAACTTACCTTCACCTGGTTTGTTTACATAACTCTGCGCCTGTCCTCTCTCATGCACTCATTCTTTCTCTCTGGTATGATAGCCCAGCTGACTACCATACATACCACACTTGATTTTTTTACAATAAATACTACTCATCTCACCCTATATTTTAAGGTAAGTAATGAGTGAACTGTATATACATTTTATCGCTCTGGGATGCTTAAATATCATAGAATAGTATGTGTGGGTGGGGTGGCCTGGTATGGTAGCCTGGCTGACTACCATACATACCACACTTGATTTCTTACAATAAATACTACTTGTCTCACCCTAGATTAAGACTATAAATATTTTAAGGTAAGTAATGAGTGCACTATGTGTGTATTGTACTTTTTTATTGTTTTTTGATGCCTGGTTCTATTGCTAACATAATACAGTGGACCCCCGCATACCGATTTTAATCCGTGCAAGAGGGCTCATTAGTATGGGAAATAATCAGTATGCGAATGAATTTTCCCCATAAGAAATAATGGAAATCAAATTAATCTGTGCAAGACACCCAAAAGTATGAAAAAAAAATTTTTACCTCATGAAATATACATTTTCCTACACACAAAGAGAAGGATACATTCACAATAGTAGAGTAGTACATGCACAGTATATATTGTGCATGTACTAGTCTACTAAATGAAGAATAAATGACACTTACCTTTATTGAAGATGCAGCAATGACTGATGAGACACTGTGTCCTGGGAGTGCCTTTTCCTCCTGAGTACTCTAGGTCCTGTTTGGCATTTTCTTCCAGAACAGGCCTTATCACACTGTGTATGTCACTACGATTCTTAAATCTCTCAAACCAACCTTTGCTGGCTTTAAATTCACCAATATGAGCACTAGTTCCAGGCATTTTTCCCTGTTCACCTGGGTGTTAGTCGACTGGTGTGGGTTGCATCCTGGGAGACAAGATTAAGGACCCCAATGGAAATAAGTTAGACAGTCTTCGATGACACTGACTTTTTTGGGTTATCCTGGGTGGCAAATCCTCTGGGGTTAATTGTTTCTTGGTATATTCTCAATAAGCCACACCAACAAGTGCTACAGCAGCAGCAGACGATGCTACAGCAGCAGCAGACGATGCTACAGCAGCAGCAGACGATGCTACAGCAGCACCAGACGATGCTACAGCAGCAGCAGACGATGCTACAGCAGCAGCAGCAGACGATGCTACAGCAGGAGCAGACGATGCTACAGCAGGAGCAGACGATGCTACAGCAGCAGCAGCAGACGATGCTACAGCAGCAGCAGCAGCTGACAGTGCAGCAGCAGCAGCAGCTGTACCACCAATAGTAGCGATGGTTGATTGGGGTTCATTATATAACCTGGCCAGCTCGGAGACACGCACTCCACTTTCATACTTATCAATGATCTTTTTCTTCATCTCTATAGTAATTCTCACCCTTATTGCTGTAGGGTTGGCACTAGAAGCTTTCTTGGGGCCCATGGTCACTTATTTTCCAGATAAAATCACCAAAAACACTGTAATAATACGAAATGTTAGGATTGTATGCTTGGATGCTACCGCGGAGGCTGGCTGGTAAACAATGCCACCGGCGGAACATGTGAGGCTGGCTAAGGCGCACATTGGACGTGTCTCGGACGAACAGCGGTGAGCGGGTTTTTGAGCGGTATGCGAGGCAAAATTTTTGCGATTAAAGTGAGCGGTATGCGGAATAAACGGTATGTGATGCCACCGGTATGCGGGGGGACCACTGTATATAATATATATATATATATATATATATATAATATATATATATATATATATATAATATATATATATATATATATATATATATATATTTATATATATATATATATATA